GAATCACATGAATCTCCGGAAAAAAAAAGGTTCTTACAAGTATTTTAAAATAATTTCTGATGAAATCAGAAGCCACCTAACTCGATAATTGCCGACCGATCAGAGTAGGTTCCACAATTGGGAAATGAAATGGGACCAAAGATATTAAAAGGTGGATCCCATAGTTAACAAGGAGGGACACAGAGATTGAAAATAGAAACCTACGGGTATGGTTGGCTCACACTGGGCCACAAGTGTCCCTTGTGGTTACTGTCTTCTCTCCCATCTATAATTCTCCTTCTCTGTCTTCTTCTTCTTCTTCTTCTTCTCATATCCCCTTTGGATTTTATCTATTCCACTTCATCTATCTCACAAGGTTAGTCTCTTTCTCTGCATCAAAATTCAACCTTTATGATTCCTTATCTTAGATCATGGAGTTTTACTTAATGGGTTTGTCCTAGAATTTTGAGTTTTATATCAACTTCTTTGTGGAAATTGCCTGTTTTTTTTGTCTTCTTAGAATCGAATTGCTCTCAAAGTTGCTTACTTTTGGTTTATATTTTCGATATCTACAGAGAGGTTGTTAGGTTTGTTATCTCTATGGCTCTTAACGTGAGCAAAGTTATTCCCAGTAGTCCCATTTTAGCGAAGAGGGCTAAAGGTTCAAGATCTCAAAGGGTCTTGCTAGCTTTCTCACCCAAAAGGGGCTCCTCTGCTGAAGAGTTACAAGGTCTTGCTTGTACAAAGCCTGTCACTTTTGTTACTTCTCGTAGATCTTCTACTTTGTGTTTTCTTGGAAAGTCTCAAGACACTGAAACTAAACCTCACGAGGATTGTCTGGATTCCCCTAAGTAAGATTAAGCTCTTTAGGTTCTTTTATCTTCCATTGATCAAAGTAGTTTTTTTTTTGGGGGGTAGCTGATGAGTTTCTTGGTGGTGTTTCAGTGAGAAGAAAGTGAAGCCTAGGAGAACAAGCAGCTCAAGACAGGTTTTGGTGGAGTATGTGTCTAATGATGCTAAGTTTGTGAACGAAAGGGCTCGTAGTGACTTTGTTCTTCTATCTCGGTATTTTCTCATTATCCTGCGTTTATATTTAGATCTAATAAAACCACACATTAGCTGTGTAAGAAGGTCCCTTATGTGTTGAGATTTATGTTCAGTGGCATTATGAGACTAGACGCTCGTGCACGACAGGACGTTGCAATTCTTGGTTCAGGGTTCCTTAAACTTGATGGTAAGTTCCACAATACAATATAAGTTATATAGTAGGATGAACTTAAATTCAATCCAAGATTTGGTTCACTTTCACACAAAACACATCTTGTCATGTCTTATTTTTTTTCTTGTGGGGTTTATTATGTAGCTCGGGCAAGAGAAGATACAGAGAAAATAGATCGTAATGTCAAGAGAAAGGCGGAACGCCTTCATCATATAGCTAGTGTATATGCTTAACTTCTCATATATACATTAACATTTTTTTTTTGTCATCATATACATTCACATATATTGACATTTTTCTATGTTTATTTCTCTTATTTGGTTTGTGTCCGTAGATATTACAGAACATAGCTCAGTCTAAGTTGAAGAATGCAGCTGATAAGCATTGGAGTGACGGTGCCTTAGTGGTATTGCCCATCCGTTTCAATTTCTGTGAAGTTTTTTTTTTTGTGTAACTAATTCAATGTAATGCTTTCTAGGCTGATTTAAGGCGAGCAGATTATCGTGCTAAGCAAAGGGCAATGGAGGATGCATTAATGGCTTTAGAGGTATGGCAAATTAAGTCTGATATGTTATAGTACTGATGATGCTTTTGTTTCATCCTTGTTAATGGTTACACTTCTTGTGCAGTTCATCAAGAACATTCATGATATGATGGTGCAGAAAATGCTTGACAGCTTGTAAGAAAGATGCATACATCATCCTTGACACTTATTCTTGTATTCTCGTGTTGTTTCTTGATACCAAAATCTTAAGTTAAAATTAGGGTTGCGTCTGAAACTGGTAACACGGACCGCATATCACTTGAGAAGAATGGCAAAGCTCTAGATTTTTTCCCAGGGGAAGTTTCATCTGATCGCATATCTGCTATTGAGGTCTGATTCACTAGGAAAAAAGAAGGCTATATATGTGTGTCTTAAGTATTCTTCTCTCTGATGGTTCCTTGTTGATGTTGAAGCAGGAAGCTTACAAGAGTATGGCATCAGCGCTCTCGGAAGCCGATGGAATTGACTACACTGACCCTGAAGAGGTCAGTCCAAAACCGACTATACATGTAATCTTTTTTGTTACACAAATCATGTGTGTTTTGTTTGGTTTTAACAGCTTGAGTTGTTAGTAACAACTCTGATAGACCTTGATGCAATGGATGGTAAGAGTAGTGCATCTTTATTAGCTGAATGCTCTATCTCTCCAGACGTCAATACAAGGTAAAAAAACATGTGTTCTCTTAACAACTTTCTTTGGTGAGTTCTTCACTATTACACACGTTACTAAATGCAAAACGTTGGTGTAGAAAAGCGTTGGCTAACGCCTTAGCAGCTGCACCGTCCATGTGGACATTGGGGAATGCAGGCATGGGAGCGTTACAGGTAATAATTAAGAGAAATGCAAAACTTGATGATTACCATTCTTGCAAATCTTTGATTATTCTCTCGTCTCATTGACAACAGAGGCTTGCGGAAGACAGTAACCCTGCGATTGCAGCAGCTGCTTCTAGAGCGATCATCGCGCTGAAGAAGCAGTGGGAAGTAGAAGAAGGTGACTCACTAAGGTTTATGATGAACATGGAGGAATTGAATGATGAGGATGACGACGGCGACAATGACCATGAAGATATCTGAACTTTCTCATGTAAAAAGAATATCAAATGTGTAGATAATTTAGAGTTATTGATAATTTAGTTGACAGAAAACAATTGCTATGAAATATAAAACTATGGATAGGTAAAAACACGTAAGGAGGGCTCTGGATCTGGATAGTGAATCATGTCTTGATTCTTGAACTTTGTTATGAATTATTCATAGTAATTATTTTAAACTTTGTATACTATTATATGATTTTGATTTTTTTTAGGTTTATAATCTAAAAGTAATTAACATAATTATAGTTTTTGTAGTTAGATTTTAGATTAAGATTCATAGAAAACCTAGTTAACATGGCTTTGTTTTTTTTAAGATGCAACCGTTAAAGTTTTTACAATCTCCAGAGTTTTAACCCAAAAGTTGAGAGTCCTGAGACCAAGCAGGGCGATGCATAATGGCTAGAACTGCAATGCAGCCTCCTTCAGCTTTGTCTGTTTATCATTGCTGTCCTAATTTCGCGAACCCTTTTTATTCATGAGATACAAATCATGCGAGATAATGTCGTCGAGATTAATATATACGTGTCAAATCAGAGTCGAGATTTGAAAAAGTGGTTTGGAAAATTGGAAATTCTCTTATATGTTTAGCAAAAATAATTCTATTATGTACTTTTTTTTAATTAACCCAAATGGGCTAAAGTTCTATTATGTACTTAAAAATAGATTTTTTAACAAAACGCGTATAAGTAACGCCTCTTAGCTGGCACGTTCTTCTTTTTTTCGCCGCCCTTAATCTTTTCCAAAAATATCTAAATAAAAAAACACCCCCAGAATCAAGTATATTAACAAGTTTGCCCTCATTGACCTAGACCTATTTAAATATCTCTCTCCCTTAAGCCGATAACCACATTACCCCCTTCCTCACAAATTCTCAAAAGACGATAAATCCCTAATTCCCCCAAATCGATTCGTACGAGCCGATCTCTACATCTTCCTCGATCCTTCTTTTGATCTTTCTTCCGGTAAAATTTCGATTCTCTCTTTATCGAATTGATTCATCTGATTGAATTCGTTTCGATTTCACTATTCGATTGAGAAATCTAGGTCTGTTTTAGGTTTAGATTATCGGAATCCGTAGATCTATATTGCTCGTGTAATCCAATCGTCAGATCTTTGATTTGTGTATATGAGACTTGGATTTGATATCTATGTGCGATGAATCTGGTCCTTGATTTGTTGATTTTGATTGTATTATTTATAATTATTGCAGATTTAATTGAGCTGAGGATGTCAGACCCTTTGAGTATGTCTCTTGATGATATGGTTAAGAAGAGCAAGGCCGCTAAAAGGTCTGCTGGTAAAGGAGTTTCCCGCGGTGGTCGTGGAGGAAAAGGTTTAACCGGAGCTGGAAGAGGAGTTGCTGTACCTGTTCGCAGAGGTCCTCTTGCTGTGAAAGCTAGGCCATCGTCTTTCTCAAACAAGGCAAGCTCACGAATCTGGGATCTTCTCTCTGTATGATTGGAAATTCATCTGAGTTTACCTGTGACACCAAAAGCATACTGATTGATAAGCGGGTCTCTAGAAGTTCTTAAGTTGTTGAAGAAGCACTTTTGATTATGCATACGCTCATCTTTAGTACAGATGATGACACATTGACACTTTTAGCGTTCAAAACCTCCTCTTGGACTCGCAGACTACAAGGCTCTTCTGACATCTTGTAGTTTACGGAGACAGGGTGTTCTTAGAAAAGCCTCTTCCTAGTCCTTGTGTACTTAGTGTTCTATATGGCCAAATATGTGGATTTCAACAGGCGGATGATTTTGTCACTTAATTATACTTTTAGTGGGGAGCTCCTTTAAACTAAGTAGTCCGCCTAGGGTCATCTGAGGTGATGATTTCTTGTGGTGTTGGGGGTGGGGATTCAGCAAACCTAACTGTAAATTGGCTTATACATTTAAGTGGGGGTGTTTGTACGTTGCATGAAGTACACGATGTGCCTCTTACTACATCTGAAAATTTTGGAGTGTGATGGCAGTCTCAGTTTTGACTCTCCAAGGACTTTTGTTTTTGGCATCAGAGACTGATAGGACCAGTGAGATTCAATTCGTTTGAAGTTGGTCAAAATTTCTTGTTTCACTCCATTTTATCCTTCGATGGTTCTTGACTATATCATCCTGGAGCTATTTTCTTTGACTGGTTTAGTACTTTCAGATAAAAGGGTGTCTTCCGTCTTTCAAGAAATTTTGTGATTAATGTGTGGCTTCAAGATTCTACAGACGCTTTTGGCTGACTTTATCTGTTCCACGTAACAGCTTACCCGCAGGAAGAAGAACTTGCCATGGCAGAATGGTTTGTTTGAGGAAAGCATGAGAGCTGTTGGAGGATCTGGAATAGAAGTTGGAACTACTGTTTATGTTACCAACCTTGATCAGGGAGTCACAAATGAAGATGTCAGGGTATAGCCTCGACTTCTCTGGTTCAGTGTTTTGTTATTATGGTTCTTTGAGGAGTTTCCTGAGAAAACGTTGTGCTACCCTGTGGTATCTAGGAACTCTTTGGTGAGATTGGAGAGATGAAGAGATATGCAATTCACTATGACCAAAACGGGCGTCCTAATGTAAGTTTGAAACATATTTTTGGTTTCTTTTTTTTTCTGCTTTGGTTTATCTGTTCTTTACGGATGTGCTGTTGTTGTGATTCAGGGCTCGGCCGAAGTTGTGTACATGAGAAGAAGTGATGCATTTCAAGCGATGAAGAGATACAACAATGTCCTGTTGGATGGAAGGTCAATGAAATTGGAGATTCTGGGTGGAAACAATGAGGTTGCTCCTGTTCAAGCTCGTGTTAATGTAACTGGATTGAACGGAAGGATGAAGAGAACTGTTTTCATTGGGTATGTAGCTATTTCTCGTCGCATAAGATTACTTACCGAATCTTAAATGAATCAACTTCTACTGCTTTGATTATCAAACGTTAAGACTAAAGTTGCTGATTCTTGCAGACAAGGAATTAGAGGTGGGAGAGGAAGAAGTGTAGCTCCTTCTATGAGACGCCTTCCAATGTAAGTGTTTAAGACTCTGTGCTCTCGCTTTCATGCATATTTTTCAACCATCTAATCAAATATCATACATTCTATTAATAGCAGTGGAAACCAACAAGGAGGTGGTGTGAGAGGTGGCCGAGGAGGGTTTCGTGGTAGAGGCCGAGGCCAAGCCGGTGGTGGAAGAGGAAATAAAGGAGGACGAGGCGGAAAGAAGGTGGAGAAGTCGGCTGAGGAACTAGACAAGGATCTTGAAAGCTATCACGCAGAAGCTATGAACATCTCTTAAAGCAAAACTCGGATGGATGCATCATGATCTGTGTTATGCCCTTGTCTAATCTCGTTTTTTCTTTCTCGAATATCCTGTTGCTATACTTTCTTTTAGGATGCTCTGCTTTGGGTTGTTTTTATTGTCTTTTTTACAGTCACCTTGATTGAAGTTTAAATGAGATTTAGGTGTAAATTAAAAGCTCTCTCGCGTAATAGTGTCATCTTTTAGTTTCTGATTGGATTGTTTAACCACATTGATGAATTTTATTCATTATTATTACTTGATAGGAAAAAATTATTAACTTAATTAACCTTCAATATAGACATGCAATACATCTAATTAAAACTCAAACACACAAACTAAAAAAACTGCTATTTAATTTGTTAACTATGTTAAAGGTTAACAAAAGATTGTGACGCAAAAATGAAAAATAGATGAAAGGTTAACAAAAGAAATTCAATTAATGAGATAACAGAGATTCATTTTCAGGAAAGCATATATTATCTATGCGTATAAAAAGCATATAAACCCGTTGCTTTGTGATTCCCACCCATTATCCGATCTTCGTCTCACTTTTGGTGTTCTTTCTTTCATCCCTTATCAAGAAGATGCAGGACCCTTCTCTTGTTCCTCCTCGGCAGAATCGTTTCAGTAACACATTACGTGAAGCCATGCGAACAAGAATGTAACAATCTTCTTTAGTCTCTTTCTTTCTTCTACTTAACAGTTCTTATTCTTTTCTTTTCACGAATGACAATCTCTCAATCTCTCCAGTAATGTTATCTTACAACGGCGACCAACTCAGAGGACTGATACTACAAGATTCCAAACGCTTCTCCGTCAATACACAAACTATCTAGAGTCTACACTGATGAACTCGGCCAACTCAGAGGTTCGTCTCTCAAACTATCTGAATATCCCATAATACACTCAATTCTTCTTGTTATTGATGATTCGATTCTTGTTGCAGGAGGAGTACTCGAATCCACGTGATCTTGAAGTCCGTATACATTATCTTGAGAAGGAAATTATGAAACGGAGTTCTAATCGTTCACATGGACTCAGCGATCTTCCGGACGCTGTGATAACTAATCATATACTCTTACACCTTCCTACCAAAGACTCTATCAAAACAAGCTTTCTATCCAAGAGATTCAAAGATCTATGGCTTCAGGTCCCAGGGCTAGAGTTAAACTCCCGTGACTTGTCTGTTTCACCCGCCATCAGGAACTACATCAACACGTTTCTCGAGATTAACCGTCACTTACGCCTCCAGAAGTTGAAGATAACGTACAACTACGACTGCAACAATAATGTTCATCTCTTTGGAATCGCTGACCAAGTGTTTAAACGTGGAGTTCATCAACTAGACATTTGCACACTCAAGCCTCCTCCTATCCATATGGGAATTAGCAAGAGCAAAACTTTGGTTTCTTTGAAGCTATCAAACATAGGAGTAATCTCGAATCCTCAGTTTGTTATTTCTCTGCCTTGCCTCAAGACCATGCATCTCGAAGATATTGTCACCAAGGATCCTTTGATCATAGAGAAGCTCATCTCAGGATGTCCAAAACTTGAAGATCTGACGGTTTGTAGGGTTTTTGATGACAATGTACCTCTTCTGCGTGTGAGATCTCTCAGTCTTAAGAGGTTTTGTGTAACGTTCGGGAGTTGCGGGAGAGTTTTTGGAAGAGTGTATGCGTTTGAGATTGATGCTCCAGGGCTCAAGTATATGAAGTTAAGGGATGATTATTGGGTTCGATCTGATAGAGTTGTGGTGGCTAGGAATCTGAGTTCCTTGTTCATGGTCGACATTGATACACGATTCAATGTTGGTGTTGGCGCTAACTTGCAAGTGAAGAAAGGTATGATATGTGAGTTTCTCAAGGGTGTTTCTGGTGTAACACATATGGTCATCTCTCAGCCTACACTGGAGGTAAAATACTAATACACAAAAATACATAGTGATGCATTTATAATATAACAAACTATAATTAATTGTTAGTATGTTCATTCTTGCAGGTTCTGTATTCTTGTTTGGAACATGGACCATACACCAAATTTCGCAACTTATCTCGTTTAGAAGCTTCGTTCTGCACCGTCTTATTACAAATGTTGCCACATTTTCTTGAAGCTTTCCCGAGCCTGAAACACCTCACATTGGTACTTGTTTGTTGTTCTAAAGCGTTATGATGATTTTGTTGGCCTAAGAACCTAATTTTGATGTTTATAATTATTCTGTTGTGCAGAACTTGCTTTATTTGAAGGAGTTAGAACCAGAGAATCTTGAACTTACCGTTGTGCCACACTGCTTGCTAAGTACGCTTGAGTGTGTTGAGGTTAAAGAAGTGACCACGGTGAAGAAAGTTGGGAAGAAAAGACCGAGGTGCATCAAGAGAACCAAAGTAGGGAAACACAAGAAGAAGATTTGGATTGAACTAGTGAGGTATATTCTTGAGAACTCACTAGTCCTCAAGAAACTCATTTTGTGTTTCTCTCCTGTGACCAACAGCGTTTTAGATATCCCAGAGGCGCTTCCTGCATTCACTGTACGTTCTCCACGATGTGAGATCATCAATCTTCTGACATCTCTTTGAAGATCAGTTTAGGAACAATGTATTTTGTTCTGAAAAAAGAGCAGTTTGGACTAGGCATTTTACAGGATTTGATTTTATTATTCCCTCGTCTCATTTGGATTTTATTTTTAAGTAACAATGATGTGCTGGCAAATTGCTGCTTGAGATAAACCGATTCCGCAAAATTTTATTATGATATAAGTCATGCAGTAACGCTTTGCACATACCATATGCAGTTGGTTCATGAATAACGTTTTCCAGAAAGGAAAACTTTTTTTTTTTTATAACACTGTTTTAATCAAAAGGATGAAGTTTACAACAATGACCAAAAACAAAATGTGATGAGATGTCATTAGACACCAAGAAAAATGAAAGAGACCTCACCTAACTCTTTTTTGTGGAGCCTCAAAAAAGAATAGGTAATGTAGCCACGGTTGATAGCTGCGGACGATGTAAGACTGATGTCGCCAATCACAAGTTATGTTTATGCAATTGTTGTAGCAACTTCATTACGATCAGGAAAGACGTGATTCAAACTCCATGAATCTATTCGTGCAAAGAGAAACAAGATAATGTGACGGATATGGCTGAAGCTAAGGTACTGGTCAGGGTTTGTGAAAGCGTCCCGAAGGTTCTCCGACGAAGTCTCGAAGATAATATTTGAGAAATATAGGTTATGTAGACATTCAACCGCTTAAAAAGAGCCCATAGGTCAGTTTCTGTTTTCGAACGCATAAAAGAATAAGATCGCCGACTATGCATGATAGTACATCCTTTTTCATCACGTAAAATTCATGAAGCACCACTGGGTTGGTTTGATTTAATCCAAGAGGATCCAACATTACATTTGAGGAAACCATTGGTTGACGTTTGCCAACAGATCATTTCCATATTTTCTGTCCTTATACCATCCATCGTAATTGTGAATGTAAGAGACCACGTGGATTCCTCTTCATAAGCTCTTTTCAAAATAAAAAAAGGCTTTATAATCTTCTTTTCAAAGATAAAAGCATTTTGAACCTTCCAGAAAAGAAATTAGGCTAAGAAAAAAAAACACCATGTCTTCTCTCCTACGTTTTCTTCCTATTTCTCTCTACTCTTTTTTCCAAATTTTTTTTTTGTTGGTTATTTAGCAAAAAAAACCTTTTCAGAATCATACAATATTTGAGAAGGTTTTTGACTCATTCCAATCCCTTCTTCGTTGTAGACTGGGCCAAGAAAACAAAGGCCTACACCGAATATTTTGGTCATGAACCTGTGGGTCAAATATTTTCTGCCGCCATGTTTAATTAATAATTAAAAAATAATTATTATTTTCGATATTTTATGTGTCGAATTCTTTTTGCTACAGATTTGTTTCAAATGTTTATTGTTAGCCCACATTTTTCTAATCTATTTACCATTCCAAATTCGTAGTAAATATATCTTAGTCAATTGCTAATCTGCATATAAAAATCATTAACCATTCCAAAGTTCTTTTTGTTGGTGACTTTTATTATTTCCCGATTATATACATTAAAATTATCAATAGATTTGGGATATCTAGATTAACTAAAAAAAAGTTAACTAAAGTTATAAAAAAAGATCAATTTAAGTAAACATATATATATATATATATATATATATATATATCAAAAAAGATTTTCAAACGACTTAATTAATGTTTCCATATATATATATGCCACATACGCCTAATTAAAACTCAAACACACAATCTAAAAAACTATATTTACTTTGTTAACTAAGAGATTCAATTAATGAGAGACAATAGAGTTTAATTTTCAGGAAATATATATATATATTATTTATGCGTATAAAAAGCATATAAAACCCTTGCTTTTTGATTCCCACCCATAATCCATCCTTGTTCGTCTTCAACGATCATCCTCTTCGTTTCCGACAGTGAATTACAGAACCTTTGGTGTTCTTTCTTTCATCCCTGATCAAGATGCAGCAGGACTCTTCTCTTGTTCTTCCTCGGAAGAACCGTTTCAATGAAACATTACGTCAAGCTATGCGAACAAGAATGTAACAATCTTCTTTAGTCTCTTTCTTTTTCTACTTACAAAGTATTTATTCTTTTCTCACGTATGACAATCTCTCAATCTCTCCAGTAATGTTATCTTACAACGGCGACCAACTCCGAGGACTGATATTACAAGATTCCAAACGTTTCTCCGTAAATACACAAACTCTCTAGAGTCTAAACTGATGAACACGGCCAGCTCAGAGGTTAGTCTCCAACCTTTCTTTTTACCAAATCTGATTATTCATCCTTTTATCTGAACAAACACGAATCAAACCGGAAGAAAACAAAAAGAGAGTAAAACGAATTGAGGATAATACCCATCTAGGGTTTGTATATTATTATGTAAACATATAACTTTACAATCCGTTAGACCTATATTTATAGTAAATTTCTTTAATCTATAAGAATACATATTTATATAGAAAAAAAATAAATTTTGCTAAACCTAAAAAGCATACTATATTGTGTTCCCCTCACCCACTAGATGTCAACCTTGATGGCACACAGAGATTAAGACACTTCGAGATGCAACACATCCATACACACTGATTCTTGATATTTGTTGTTGCAGGAGGAGTACTCGAATCCACGTGATCTTGAAGTCCGTATACATTATCTTGAGAAGGAAATTATGAAACGGAGTTCTA